CGGGGTGGGGGGGGGGGAACGGCCGGGGGGCGGGGCCCTCCTGGGTCTGAGACGGGGCACCCAGTCGCCCGCTGCACGTGCAGGACGCCGCTGGTCCGCCACTACAAGGTGAAGCGCGAGGGCCCGAAGTACGTGATCGACGTGGAGGAGCCGGTGATCATTGGGGCGGGGGCTGGGGAAGCGCACGGGCGGGGTCCGCGCCCCTGCCCAGCGGCCCTAACCGGACCCCTTATCGGCTCCCAGGTCTCCTGCGCCTCACTCCAAGACGTGGTCAGCTATTTCGTGTTGCAAACCAAGAATGCGCTGGTGCCCTTCCTACTGGACGAGGACTATGAGAAGGTGCTAGGTGGGTGAGGACTCGGGGGCTCAGTCCCTGCCTCTCCCGCCTCCCGCCTGGATGGGGACTCCCTTGGGTCAGCCCCGGGCCGTGCCGCTGCGCCTCCTCCAGGCAGCCCTCTCTATTCTAGGCTACGTGGAGGCGGATAAAGAGAACGGCGAGAGTGTGTGGGTAGCACCCTTGGCTCCCGCGGTCCTCTGCCCAGGTGATGCCCCTCCCAAGGCAGCCACTGGGGCAGAGGGTGGAGAAACCTAGGACCCACATGGTGCCTCGTGTGCCCAATCTTGTACCCAGAAATTACTCAAACCCTGACCTCTGGAGACTTCCAGATTGTAGAGGGGGCAGACAGAGCTGGATACAGACACTCCCAGCCCTGTGGGATTGAACCTGGGGCTGGTACAGGGGAGAAGGGGAGTAGGGGAGAAGGGGGGCAGGGTAGGGGAAGGCATCCTGGAGGAGAGGGTGTTTTTGCTGAAGTTCGCAAAGGATTTCAGGAGGCAGAGATGGGCAGAGGGGGACAGAAGGTGCACATGGAGTAAGAACTACCCAGGGGTGGGAAATTGGGGTCGGTGTTGGGAAAGGCATGGGAGGCAGTCCAGCTTATGGAGGAGGAGGAAGAGGTTAGAAGCAGTATGACCCGCCCTGGGCTGGGCAGATACGGGGGTGGGGGAGCATGTATGTATCTATTTATATGCACATGCCACAATCACCAACACAGACTATGTGACCTGAATAATCAGACCCACGTAGACAACAGCTCCACGCATGCATGTGTCATGATTCTGTTCCATCTGGCACACATGCATCCCTTAAGCCACAATTATGTGTGCACAGCACAAATTCAGACATTTATAGACACATGAATGTACACATGGAGACAAGTGCCCCAGCACAGACTTTAGCACCCATGCACTGTTATGCATATTTACATTTAACTTATTCAGACTCACCCAGTGTTCATGTTTATGCTACACAGGAACACAAACACACACACACATGGACATGTGTACAGACACATGTGCACAGGGCCACTGGCCTGCATCCAGGCATGCACACACACACTCCTGCTCAGAAGCACACAGACCCACCCTGAGGTATCCCTGCACCATGTGGGTCCCCAAATTCCTGCCATTTCCCACCCACCAGGTGCTGCAGCCCCTGCCGGTGGCTCCAAGCAGCCACCTCCTTTGCCCAGACAGCACAAGCTGCCCCCGCTACTGAACCCGGATGAGAACTATGTGATCCCCATTGGAGATGCCCCAGTTGCCGAATATGAGAACTCGGATGGTGGGTGGGGGACCAGGGGTGGCTGAGAGAAGGGGCAGGGGGAGCAGGCTCACGGCCGATGTGACACCCGTATCTTTGTCTGTGCAGCGCTTTCGCCGGGCTGGCCCAAGCAGTGTCACCCAGCCCAAAAGGTTCAGGCAAAGCCTCCAAAGCCACCCATGGCACCTAAGCCAGGTAGGGGACCCTCTTCCCCAGCACCTCCCTCATCCAGTGGAGGGCCATTCTCAGCCTTTATCTGCCTTCCCCAGAGCCCAAATGCCTGGCCAGCGGCCTTGCCAAGAAGCTGGCCATCAGCTCAGCACAGGCCGTCTGCCCCACAACAGGTATGGGGCCTGGGGGGCCGATGTGGGAGGGGTGTGCGCTTCACAGGCGTGCGACCTGTGCAGTCACACAGGACCCAGCACTCCGAAGGGCCTGTACTTGGCTTAATGCTCTGCTGTCTCCCTCTCAAA